CACTCGTAATCAAATGTTAACGGTTTTGAATGAATAGAAACTGTTTCACAGATGGTTCGATGGAGGATCAAACGACGACGCGGTGTCACCCCAAACTTGGGTGTTGTTGCGGGTTTTAGAATATGTAGTCAAGTTTCAACGCGAGGCGGATCATCCACGAATGTCGCTCAATCATGATGATTGTTAGAGGCGCATAGGAGCGAATCCCCTCCATATGACAAGGATACCCATTAATCTCATATATATATAATATAACTATATATATATATATATATATTATTTATAATAATATATATTATATATATATATATATTATAATATATATATATATATATATATATATATATAATATATATATATTAGATATTGCTTGTGTTATATTCCTTTACTCGTTGTTTATGTAGGCTATCTAAAAATAACTACAGATAGCTGATCCCCATCAAACACCGATGATAAAAGTTACAATTTGACGGCTTCCAGAAAGCTATAATATAAAAAATTTCACGTAGATTGATAGAAGCTCTAATTTAACAGTCTTCACAATCAACATCGGGAGTTACAATCTGACGACTCTCATATTTTTAAGGAGCCAAGACGAAGGTTACAAAATAACAATATTTGCAACGATCTAGCAAAAGAGACTACAAATTGACGGTCCCTTCAAATCAAAACACAGATATCTCTCAAACCATAAGGAGTTTGGCAAAACGAACAGGAACAAACTGAACCCTTAGGGTGGGTTTGGTCAGCTCTGTCTCGTCAAGATAGTCGATTTTCATATATAATTCGTCCAATTCCGACTTACGGTTTGAAAGTTACGACCTATTCTTCGCAACAAGTTATGTTGTGAAGTCTGTCTGTAAGACTGGACTTCGCCTGAACATTAGACTTAGCCTGAAGCTCGCCAAGCCCGCCTGAGGCTCGCCTCTGCATTCCAGAGTCAAAATGCAGAGTTCATATCTGCTTCCCAACGACAAAATGCAGAGTTCGTGGACTCAAAACGCAGAGTTCATCTCTGTGTCCCAACAACAAAACACAAAGTTCGTGGACTCAAAATGCAGAGTTCATCCCTGCATCCCAACAAAAAGCACAGAGTTCGTGGACTCAAAATGCAGAGTTCATCTCTGCGTCCCAACAACAAAGCACAGAGTTTGTAGATGCATTTTGGACTTAAAACGCAGAGTTCGTGGCTGCGTTCCAGAATCAAAAAACAGAGTTCATGGCTATGTTCCAGACTCAAAACGCAGAGTTCGTGGCTGCGTTCCAGATTCAAAATGTAGAGTTCGTGGCTACGTTTTCAGGCTCAAATGCAGAGCCCAACTCTGCGTCTCAGGTCCAGAACACAAAATTCGTGCGTTTTCAGGTTCAAATGTAGAGCCCAACTCTACGTCCCAGGTCTAGAACGCAGAATTCGTGTGCAGAATATAATTCTTGCATTTGACTCGTTCAAACACGAGCTGAACGGTTTTAAAATCATTTTCACGATTTGAGGGGATCACTACCCTATCATGAAGAGATTTATGGGGGACGGTTATACCCCATTAAACCCTCGTTAAGGAGAGATTTAAGGGGGCGGTTACACCCCTTAATCATTTATAAATAGCGGGAAACTCAACTGAGTTCAGGATCTCCAATTCATCCTCTTTTCGACAGCAAAGAGGAGATCTTTTGGTAGATCATCTTTAAGGGAGATCGATATTTATCCTTGGAGAGCTCAGAGCATTCTTCGGCAACAGGAGCTTTCTTCATCCTTAGCTTACAAACCGATTTCGGTTAAATCAACTCTTTCATAGAGTTTCAAACTCGTTCAGAGTTATCAACTCGTCAAGAATTTCAAACTTGCTTTGCAAGTTCGTCCAAGACATCGAGTCAAGAGGCGAAGACAACGTTCCAGCGAGGTGTTCGGATCGTCAACGGGATACAAGAATCTAAACTCCCATCGACACCAAGAAGAACCCAGGTTAAACAAAGGGAAGAATCTTAGTCAACCCTTCTCTCTTTTATAAATCGGGAATCTGATATAAGAAGTGTATTTTTTTTCTGAGTCTGTTAGAGAGAAATTGTATCGAGAGAATTGTAATTAATTCTTTTTCTGAGCCTGTCAGATAGAATAATACAAATTCAATTTTCTATTTTTTTCTTTTAATTTTCCCACCAAACAAAAGATGGCAACTCCGCTGGAGACTAGCTTCACTGACGAAGAAGTGGTGGTGCGATTCGACGTCAACCTCGCTGGAACAACGGTCGAAACTCTCGTGGTAGAGTTTGATCAAGCCAAATATGAGGAAGTTCTTTCCTTTGGATCTCTTAGCTCCAGGGCTATGCGCAAGATCCACAATGTCTCAACGAGACTAAAGCTCCAACTGCTCCAATTGCAGCCGAATCACCCAAGGAAGACCTCTCCTTTGGGCCAGATTGCTCGGACATCCCCTCCTCCGATGGAGTGGGCTCAGCTTCAGCCAAACCCGTGCCAAGACGACGGGTATCGGGTCACAAGAGGCCCATTGTGGCGACAAACCAGGTCAACCCAGATGGTGACACCACCAAGGCCTTGGAATAGGCCAAGAAGAATGCCGCTCGACGATGGAGGAGATCTCGATGACGAGCACAACTCCAAGAGAACCGATCCCCCAATCAACGCGAGCTTCGCGTTTGTGAGCCTCAACACGAGCTCTGTGTTTCTACTTTAGAATGCAAGCCTCACTTTTATGTGCCCAATCATGAGCCTCACATAAGCCAAGCTAAACGCAGCCCTTAGGGGTGCGTTTCCCAAATAGAACGCAACCCTCAGAGACGCGTTCTAACATCAAAACGCAGACCTCAGAACTGCGTTGATCAACCAGAATGTGACCCTCAGAGGCGCGTTCCAACATTAAAATGCAGTCCTCAGAGGCACATTTAACAATCAAAACGCAGCCCTCAGGGGCGCATTATTCAAGCAAAATGCAGCCTCCAGGCCTGCGTTTTACCTTCAGAATGCAGCCCTCAGGACTGCGTTTTACCTTCAGAACGCAGCCCTCAGGCCTGTGTTTTACCATCAGAACGCAGTCCCCAAGACTGCGTTGACCAGCCAAAATGCAGCTCGAAGAGGTGCGTTTCACCAGCAAAACGCAGATGCAGAGGCGCATAATAGATCGATATGAACATCATGAGCTGCCCCGTAATAAAACCAGTAGACCTCAGTCTTGCGTTCTTCAATCTAAACACGATTCTCGTGTTCCTTCTTTAGGACACGATGTGATTCGTCGTGTCAGAAAAGACCAACATGGATTTAAGATCCATGTTCACCAAGAACCAATCTCGTCTACTGATGGACAGGGGGTTCCAGCTTTAACCTCACGTTCAGAGAGAAATACTTCCCAAGTCTCCGATTTATGGGAACTTTTGTCAAGAGAAAGACCAATGCAACAAACCACTCATTCATGTCAATGTGAGCGGCTTATTTCTGCGGTCCTCTCAGAATGTCAATGTTGTGCTTCTGTGCTTAGGCGATCAGTGTTCGACCGATTGATGAGCGTTGCTCGACCAAGCAATTGGATCAAGTGGCTCTGGTACCACTGTTGACTCTTAAGTTTACGAACTTAGAACTCTCCCAAATGAAGACAAAGAACTTACTTTTATTTATTTAAATTTTTTCTTGATGAAACAAGGATTACAATAGCCCTTTATATAGGCTTCAAAAACAAAACGTATAGGCATTATACCAATAGTCACAAATTAAACTCCTATTTTAATGTCATAAAGATAAAACATCAATAAAGGAGTGAGTGACTATTATTCTTCCATAACCTATGACCCTTGCACTTCTAAAACTCATGCTATTAACCTCATTTATTCTAACATTTTAATTTAATATTCCAACAAATACTAGCACATTGTACCCACATGTTTCCCGGCTTAACATATCAGTTTTCTTAATCTTAATAATTCAACATCTTGCATCAAAATCTCTTATGACAGTCTAAATTAAAAGATATGGTTCATGGGGAGACTATTCATGCTTAATTTTCAGCATGCATTTCGTAATTCATATATATTGGATGAAAGTCATTTTGTGGTGGCACCACGGAAAATTGTGTGCAGATGTTACTACCTACAGTAGCGTGTTGTGAGAGACAATTATGTTTCATAAGATAGATTATTATTCATCAACAATCCAAATTGAGCTGTATTGCCCACTATATCAATAGCTTCTAAAATTTACACAGATATTTCATTCGGATGCAAATTAATAGCTAGAACAAGGAACTAAGATCCAACTATTGACAGATCGAGCCAGGTTCTGAATCCACCAGCCACTACAAGCAATTAATCTATTTGGTCTCAGCAACCTTAAAGGCCTATACATTTCTTGGAACAAAGCATTGGAATACTACGTACTTGAAGCTTCAAAGCAGAATTGAGAATATATATTAGCTACAAAAGATTAGTGTGCAGAAGCTAACTTGAATAGACTTGAGATCTATGAATGCGGACTACCAGTTAAGGATGTTCACGTAGCCCTGTGGGCTTGTGGGTTATCACCAAACATCAGCGTCAAGCTTCCTACTGTGAAACTATATCACTTGCAGTACTATTGCATGTGTGGCTCATAGAACAATATATTCGGTTTGTGTCTGTGTGATGCTCCATCCTTTTTTCTCAAAAAAGAAGAAAAAAAAAAACAAATTCTTCCTAGGGTGCACAAGAAAAAGTTTGTTAAAGACACAGTAACATACATGCCATAAAACATATACGCACAGCAACATACATGCCATGCTTATATATTCCTCTGTTGTGCACAGACACGTAAAATGCAGCGATAGGCTCAATGTTTTGGCGTAGCTATGCATGAAGACATCTAGGCAACCAGCCCTTAACAATTCAGACCTAAACATGTTACTCTGGTGAGCAAACATAATGGTCGGGGCATTAAAATCACTAAAAAATCCATAACTTCAACAACACAACACAAGCACAGATAAGAAGATTCCAAACTTACAAGGAGATTGTTTAATGTATTATCAGGAGCTCTCAGCATTGGTGGTGGACTGAGCATCAGACTGAATATATTTCACGACATCAGCACAACAAGTAAGTTTATCAGCCTTATCGTCCGGAATTTCAATGGAGAACTCCTGCTCAAAGGCCATGACAAGCTCCACTCTATCCAAGCTGTCCAGGCTCAGATCCTTCTGGAAGTCAGCAGTGTCTGTCACCTGCCCCGACGCAAGAAAAAGATCGGATCCTGGTCAGTATAGTAAGCTATTTGAGATGTTAGGTTCAGAACGTAAGGCATAAAGATTTGAAAGGCACGGAAGCAAAGAAGGTGATTTTCAGAAAAGCAACAAGCTTAAGAAAGTGCCCTGTATATATGCATATTACCAAATGAAGCCGCCTAAAAGTCAAGGCTCAATTGCGATGTAACTTGCAAGCTCTGCGGATGACAGACTTGAGGACTGGTGTCACTCAATGAATATGGCTTGGAAACCGACGGGCAATTTAATTTATTGCGTGAATTCCCACATTTATATCTTTTAAAAAGAAAATGATAATGCCCCCTAAAGTTAATGTAAATGCAAACCCCCTCTAGGTTGATCAAAATATACAATCAAGAACCACCATGGCAAACCTTTACAGGAGAGGAAACAGCTCGATATAAAGACCAAGATCATGGAAGTGAAGGACCATGATCAGCCACATTCTGTGATTGACGATCTGCTTACAATTTTGGCCAAGCAAGAGATTTGTAAGCGAAGAAAGGTACAAATTAACTCATAGAGGATGAAAAACGACGATCGAGCTAGAGGAGTATGGTGGCAACAGCTAGCAAAGAAGGCAGATCAAGGTTAGTTGTTGGCATGCCGATCGGAGCAAACCTACAACGATCGGAGTATGTGGCTTAAGGGTCGCTAAAAGTAAAGAAAATACCATTCTTTACGGTTCTGTTCGCTTGCAATCGCCACGAAAGCCCTAACAGTAAAGTCGATACCATGCATCATTTATTTTCGATATTAGGGAAGTCCTTTTTAACTCATAAGAGGATCAGCATGCTAATAAAACACGTAGAGAATTTAGGATCACCTTGCTCGCATCTATCTTGTCAAAATTTTTAACCAGCTCTACAACTCGAGCCGTCAGACGTTCGGAGCTTGAATCGTGTGATGAAGCACACATGCACCGCGTCAGCCCGTAGAGAGGCCTTCCACCTTCCTCGAATGCTAGAGACTTTGCGGACAGGCGGATACGCCTGAGTACGTAATTTCGGAAATGCTGCATTCTAGTGAAAGCCCGGAACAGATCGATGAATACCAAAGTCAGAACACGGAGAAATCAAGCTAGATATTAAGAGCACCTATTATTTACTGATGCTACACGTTCAAGCAAAAAAATAAAAAAAAATAAAAAAGCAAGTTACCGCAGCTTGAAACTATTATTCAAATTAACAAGTCAAACGCGGGCTTGAATCTTCATTTTCCGAAATAATTGCTAATTGAAGAAACAACCTTGACATCGTGACCGTGCAGTTAACTACCTTAAAACGCGTAAAAGACCCGGTCTTTTTCGTGAAATCCGTATTTTTTTTTACAAGCGCGAACATGATAATTAATGAAGGATTTTGGCCCTAGAAAGGCTATGAATCCGATGTTGCTGTTATTAAAAGAAAGAAAGGGGGAAAAAAGGAAAAAAAAGGCATTTTTAAAGCCCCAAATGACAAAGATCGTAAACAGAAACAGAGGGTGGCGGCGTACCTCTTCGACAGCGGAGAGACGACGACCAGAGCAGAGATTCACAGGGGGGAGAGCAGAGGGGGTAGATCTGTACTGATCGGATGTCCTGTTCCTCGAAGCAGTTTTAAAACAAAGCCGACCCGACTGGTAAAAATGTAATAATCTCTACAAAGCCCGTACTCGAGGATTTATGGTAAGCTTTCTTGTCATCCGCCCTGTTATAAATTATAAACACAGCTCTCGCCCGTGATGATCTCAATTAAGGTGTGTAGATTATGACCGGCTCGCTCATGTATGAATTTGGGTACGTCCCAACTTACCCATCCGCCGATCGAAACAATCAATTCGAACCCGTGCCCTTCCGGACCTTATTGCTAAGAGCTTCGCAGGTAGAAAAATCATCGCAAATAAAAGAGAAAATTACAGGAAACATAAACAAGAAAGAACACACAAAATTTAACGAGGTTCGGCAACGTGCCTACGTCATCGGGAGCCACACCACACAATTCTTTGATTAATTGAAGAAGATTACAACACCTACAAATAGGTTTTTATCTCTCTGAGATCTCTCTGAAAGAATCTTCTCAAAACCCTACAGGGTTATTGTGCATGTTTTCGGTCGACCGGACCATCACCTTCGGTCGACCGGATCACCACTCTCAGTCGATCGACATCAAGCCTCGATCGACCGGCCAGAGTGAGTTCCTAGGTTGTTTTCCTACAGTCGTTGCGATCGACCCGACTCACCATGTCTGTCGACCGACCCGAGAAATTCCAAACTCGCAATTTTGTTTCAGGTTTCGGTCTTCACACTTCCAAAACCAACACTGACACACACATTGTCCACCTCGGACATATTAATTCCCTTCGTTTCTTTGTGCGGGTTTGGTTCTCAGAGAGAGTTAGGGTTTGCAGCGGTAAAAAACTACTCTGCCCCTGTATGTTGGAAAAATTGCAATGAAAAGAACGAAAGAAAATTGACTTGTATTTCTTTGATTCCGATTACAATTCGATTACAAAAGAGAAGAGAACGAATTTGGTTCTCTCCTTTGTTTAAAACTGGGTTCTTCAAGGTAGCGATGGAGTGCCTCCCTCGAATGCTCGCGTCGAGTTTGCTCTCCGTTGACGATCCGACGTTTTGATTCACTGGAACGATATCTTCTCCTCACGATTTGACGTTGTGGAGAACTTGCGTGGCAAGTTTAGAACTCTGGACGAGTTGATAACTCTAAACGAGTTGGAAACTCTTGAAAAAGAGTTGATTTGAACCGAGAATCAGTTCTTAAGCCAAGGTCGAAGGCTTCAAGGAATGCTCCAAAGGATGAATGCCGATCTCTCCCTTTGCTGCCAAGTCTCAGATCCGAAAATGCCAGCCGAAAAAGCCAGCCGAAAAAGCCTTGAACTCCGGACCAAAAAAAAGCCCACCTTGAACTCAGTTGAGTTTACTCGCTTTTATAGGGGATTAAGGGGGTGTAACCACCCCTTAAATCACTCCTAAGTGGGGTGTAACCGCCCATAAATCATGGGAACCGGTTTTGGAGCCGTTCAGCTCATGTTTGAACGAGTCAAACGCCCACGTTGGCGTTCAGGACCCTAACTCCGTATTTTAGACAGGAGACGCGGAGTTGGGTACCCGCCGGACATTGAAAAACGCGGGTCTGACCCCAGCGTTTTAATGTTGTAACGCGGGTCCGACTCCAGCGTTTTGATGTTGTAACGCGGGTCCGACTCCAGCGTTTTGATGTTGTAACGTGGGTTCGACCCCAGCGTTTTGATGTTGTAACGTGGGTTCGACCCTCGCGTTTTACTGTTGACACACGGGGAGGACCTCCGCGTTTTGGTGTTGATACACGGGGAGGACCTCCGCGTTTTGGTCTTAGAGCGCGGTGATGAGTTCCACGTCTTGCTTTGGAGAGATTATTAACAAGTAATCTCTTTTGTCATAGCGTTGCAAAGATCATTGTCTTGTAATCTTCGTCTTGGCTCCTTGAGAATATGAGAGTCGTCAGATTATAACTCCCGATGTTGATTGTGAATGCTGTTGAACTAGAGCTCTCATCGGTTGTCGTGAAGGTCGTCAGATTGTAACCTTCAGCGATCTACGTGAAAGTCTTCAAATTGTAGCCTTCTGGAAGTCGTCAGATTGTAACTTCCATCATCGGTGTTTGATGGGGGATAAGCTATCTATTGTGATTTTTAGACAGCCTACAGCCCCAGCCAAATCGCTCATCGCGATTTCCTCCAAAATCGAGCGAAAAACCGACGACGACCCTCCTCTTCTGTCCTTTTGTCATATCTGCAATATTTTGGGAAAATCACTCAGTTGGTTAGGTTTACTGCCAAGTCCAACCATTTCTTCTCTCTTCGCGTGTTGGATCTACAAAATTGGTGGCTTGCTATTGTCCGGTTTTTGCTGATTTCTTCTGATTTTGGGGAAATTTGCTCAGTTTCCTTAGATCTTGTTTGCGAGAAAAATTGCAAGAAAGCTGAGAAATAAATTTGTATTAATCTCCCTAACTGACTTAGGAAAAGAATGAATACAATCTCTCAAAGTAATCTCTCTCTAACTAACTTAGAAAAAGAAGTTATAATTTTGGGGAAAAAATGCAAAATAGACCGTTTTTATAAAATATATAGCGAAATAGACCGCTTTGGTAAAAAATTAGCAAAATAGACCTCTTTTTGGCCAATAGGCCAAAAAGAGGTCGATTTTGAAAAAGTGGGTTCAGAAAACATACGAGACTACTAGTCCCGTATGTTTAAAGCTAACTAATCCCAGTGGTTATCGAACTCAGAAAATATACGGGACTAGTAGTCCCGTATATTTTTTGTGCCCTATCAAAACGTACGGGACTAGTAGTCCCGTACGTTTTACAGAGCCATTTATCCACTGCCCAGCAAATCCACGGGACTACTAGTCCCGTGGATTTGTTGTGCAAGAAATGCGCTCTACGGGACTACTAGTCCCGTAGAATTGCTGAATATATATATACATCTCAAATTAGGGCACATTTTCCCCTTCGCTTCTTTCTCTCGCCATCGCCCTCTCTCTCTCCTGAGCACCAATCACCGATCCCCCCCCTCTCTCTCTCTCCTGAGCTCAACTCCAGATCTTCCCCTCTCTCTTTCCCGAGCTCTCACTCTCTCCCAAGCTGATCAACGTCCCAAACCCGATTCCATCTACCCCAAATCCGACCCAACAATCCCAATCTCTCTCCCCCAAACCCAACTCACCTCTTCCTCCCTCAAAACTGACGCCGACGCCGTCTATACTCTATGAGGCCGAGGAGAGATCTGAAATTTGAAATTTAATCAAGGTACAAATTTTAATTTTTCTATAAATTTATATGTATTGTTTAGTTAATGTTGTATATCTAGATGAAATATATAATTATGGTGTAGAAAAATGTCTGAAAAAAAATATAATTTTTATATGATGAATTTTAATGCTTCAGTTAAAATGGCGAATGGAGTACCGATTATTTGCTTATTCAATGGAAAACTAAGCGTTGGAATGAATAATATGCCTATATACGATGGAGCCTCTAGGAAAATGTTCATGTTGTCCAGAAATTGGAACTTTGATAGATTGATGGCGCAAATATACAGAGTTACTGGAATTAATCACGTCGAAAATGGCATTAAGGTCTTCTGTAATTGTTCAATAAATGATCAAAGAACAATTGCTGTAGAGATCACCAATGATGAAGAATTGAATAACATGATACAACTTGCGGAAAAACAAATATCAATCGAGTTGTTTATTGAAAACATTCCAATGTCTGTGGTTGCTGAAGTTTCATATGCTCGTGGAGAGTTCTCCCGCATGCTTGATAATCAAATATCGTTATCTCAAAGTGTCATGCGCTTAAAAAATGAGTCGGGTGCAATGCCAAATGACATGTTCCACAACTCGCCGGGTCATGTTTCAGTTGATTTGCCGGGGGGTTCTACAATAGTAGAGGATAATGATGAGGATGTAGATGCCGATGATGATACTGAAGATGCTGAAGAGGCTGAACGTCTTGATAGTATGCAGTATGCAATTAGAGAGACCAATGATGATGTAAGTTGGATGGATGAATATTGCGTAAATAACGACTATGTAGAGTCTGAAGAACCGTTGCCAGAAGAGTTCCAAAATGATGAGTTGATAAATGCCTCACAAGCTGAGTTCGTCGATCCTGGCCCTAATTTCGATCGACCCGAGGACTTTACTTTCAAGAAAGGAGATCTTTTCGAGAACAAGGAAACATTAATTTTCGCTATACGTGAATGGGCAATCAAAAACCGGGTCAAATTCAAGACGGTGAAAAGCTACACAACTAGCTATCATGTAAAGTGTTACTTTAATGAGAAAGGTCAAGGAGAGAATACAAGTGTTGCAGATGATAGAAATTCAAAGTGTCCATGGAAGCTTAATGCAGCTATTAGGAAAAAATCACTTGGCCAATTTGTGATCTCTAGTTATTGCGGACTCCATACATGTTCTAATTCGACTGCAACTTATGATCATAAGACTTTGACTTCCTCTTATATCACAAAGCTAATTATGCCCGAAGTTAGGTGGGAACTTGATCTTACTCTAGGACAGATAATTACAAGGGTATATGATATGAAAAGAATAACAATATCCAAGTGTAAAGCATATGATGCACGGAGGAAGGCGTTGACTAAAATCTTTGGAGATTGGGAGGAATCTTACCAATTACTTCCGCATTACCTTTCAGCAATTATGAGGAAAAATCCGGGTACTAAATATGACATAGTGTCTAAGGAGGTCGCGCCAGAAATAGAGAGGTTCATACGTGTTTTTTGGGCATTTGGGCCCGCTATTAGAGGGTTCTCTTTTTGTCGTCCGCTCTTAAGTATCGATGGAACATATTTATATGGCAAGTACAAAGGAGTGCTCTTGGTTGTGACCGGTGTAGATGCAAACGGTGGGCTATTTCCTATAGCTTTTGCAGTTGTGGAGGTGGAGGATACATCGAGTTGGAAGTGGTTTTTTCAATGTATTTACAAATATATTCCGACTGTTCAAAGTCCACGAGTTATTACCTTTATTTCTGACCGGATGAAAGGAATTCCACGAGCCTTGCACGAGGGGTGGAGTGCACCACATCATCACCGATATTGCTTGCGGCATATAAGAGCTAATTTTAAGAAAAAACATGGAGAGGTCAATTTACAAAATCTATTATGGCAAGCCGGTTGTGCAACTGACTCACTGGTATATGAGCATTGTAGAGAGAAAATTAAATCCATATCACTTGAAGCCCACGATTGGATTGAACAAAACTTGAAGCCGCAATACGAAGATCGATGGGCATTATGTAAAGATGGTGGAGTGCGATATTGTATGATGACAACTAATTGCTCCGAAAGTTTCAACGGCATACTTAAGGGTGCCCGTGCTATGCCAATTCAAGCCTTAGTTGCAAGGAAATTTTATAGATTGAACGCATACTTTAATAAGAGGCGTAGTGATAGTGCAAATTGGACGAGTAAGTACACTCCAAACAATAAGATTATTTTGCAGAAAGGATTGTGGCTTTGAGAACATGTAGAATTGAACAATTCAACAACAATGAGTGGGAGGTTAAAGATTGTGATGGTACATACACCGTTCATCTCGACGATCAGGAGTGCAGTTGTACTTGTAGTATATCACAATTACAGAAAATCCCATGTCAACACGTTTTAGCGGCTAGTTCCAATCAAGATGGTGGTGCTAGATTGCCTTATGACCGGTATTGCTCAGCTTGGTATTCAACAAATCATTATTTAAGGCTTATACGGAGAGTTTTCATCCTCCCGATGATACTCGTTATTGGCCGGATTTATATATACCTTATATATTACCACCTAAGCGCAAAAGACAAGCTAGACGGCCAAAATCCGTACGCATTAGATCTACCATGGATCAAGGTCGTGAAGGAGTAGCGTCACGAATCCGATGTGGACAATGTAATCAATTAGGACATAATAGGTCTCGTTGTCCATCAAGAGCAAGTAGATAGCAATTAATTTGTAAGTAAAATATTTTCTAATGATATGTCATCATTATATGTTATTGATTTAGCAAGTAGATACATTGTTTATATGTATTTGATTTGGCAGAAACTCATAAGTTACCGTTATATGTGCAGGTATATACACGATGCTTCCAGGACCGGTTAATGATGAAGTTCTTTATGATCAGTCACGCCACCGATCGGAGAGCATATCATTTACATCGGTAATGATAACATATTTACAGTCACATATTACTTATTCATTTTTATAATCTAATATTTGTATTCATTTATGTGCAGAGAGGACAAGAGCTGGTTATGATTGATCATAGCCTTGGACATACGCGCTGGCCACTTGATGATCCTCGCATCATTGCCCTAGTATCCTAAGCCGGTTTTCTTACTTGCTCAAAATTGAAATGGATGAAGCTTGATTGGGCACTGCTTAACGCGTTGATGGATAGATGGAGGCCGGAGACTAATACTTTCCATCTACGTGTCGGCGAGACAACTATTACTCTCCAGGATGTAGCAGTGATCCTAGGTCTCCGCATTGATGGCCCTTGTGTCACTCTTACTTGCTCAAAATTGAAATGGATGAAGCTCGATTGGGCACTGCTTAACGCGTTGATGGATAGATGGAGGCCGGAGACTAATACTTTCCATCTACGTGTCGGCGAGACAACTATTACTCTCCAGGATGTAGCAGTGATCCTAGGTCTCCGCATTGATGGCCCTTGTATCACGGGGACTGATAGGCATGTTTGGCGAAGAGTATGTGATAATTTGTTAGGAATATCTCCGGAGTCCTTGCCTGGAGGGTATATTAGATTGAAGTAGATTAAGGAGAGTTTTGGAAACCCGTTGCCACAAGATGCACCTGAAGTGATGATCCAACAGCATGCGAGAGCATATATTATGCACATGATCGGGACGCTTCTTTTTCCCGATTCAAGTAAACATAAAGTCCATTTGAGGTAAGTAAACATTAAGTATTGATTTTTGCTCACTATTCTTAGTATACATGACTAACGTATTTGAACTCGCGCTAGGTGGTTACCACTTATCGAAGACTTCGACGTGTGCGGGACATTATCCTGGGGTAGTGCTGTTTTAGCATACCTATATCGAGAAATGTCAAAGGTTGCTTTAATGCAAAATAAGGAGCTCAAGGGTTGTTTAACATTGCTACAAGTTTGGGCATGGGAAAGATTAGTTTTGAAACCACGATTATGCGAGATCCGAGAGTTAGATGGAGATATTCCACTAGGCTGTAGGTAAAAAGTGTCAAATTGAATCTCATTTGTATTTAATTTTAAATTTAACATTTTGAACAAAAATGTTTCTTGCAGATGGAATGTCACAAAAGCCTATGATGAGACACCGGCTAGGCAATTAGATTTTTACAGAGGGGAGCTCGACTGGATAAAAATTTTTCAGGTATCGAATTTGAATTGAAGTACTCTATGATATTCATATATTTCAAAGAGATATTAACATTTGGATTTTTTTACAGATCGAGTGGCAGCCATACACCCCTCACCTACCTCGTCTATCGCTGATTTGTATGGAGGGACATGGCATATGGAGGGCCAGAGTTCCTCTCGTTTGTTTCGAGATTGTGGAGATGCACGTACCCGATCGCGTGTTTAGACAGTTTGGACTCGCGCAACATGCTCCACAATATGTCAAAAAAATAGAGAGAAAGGCGACTAAAGGTGGACATCAAATTGACTGGCAGCGCACACATCAATCATTCATTGCCAGGTGGAATGATCGACATCAACATATTGCCAATCAGCTTTATCCTCCGATGGAAGAAGTTGATTACATTAAATAGTATTGGGAGATTACCAGACGTTGGATAATCACTGAAACTACGCCTCCAGTTGACGAAATCGAGATTCGCTCCCAACAATCCTGATATGTACCGAGAGGGGTAGATGAGAGACGATGGGTAAGTTAAATTGTCAAAATTATCATAGAATGTCAATCTCTTCTTAGCTTATGGTTTCTAATATCAATAATTTTATGTAATTGTAGATAGATGCTATGAACGAGGTCGAGGGGATTGCAAATGAGGGCATAGCTACCGCCACAGGAGATTCAGTACATGTATCGATATTGCATCGGATAGTGGCGAGAGTTCGTAGAGCTTTTCAACAAACTTATGAGGATCGACATAAATGTCGTGAGCAGGTGAATCTTGACGACACTCTATATGTACGCTGACGTAGACGCGGTAGACCTTGCACGCACGACGATGAAGCCGGTCCGTCACAGCAAGCCGGTCCATCACAGCCCCACACACAACCGGAGAGCGAGCATATTCAAGCTCAAGTCGAAGGAGGACGCCGACGATCTCAACGAGTGCAAAGAGAGAGACAACGGGGGAGGGGTGGATTTTTTATTTGTTAGTTTTTCCACTAAGATATATATTGTCGTATGGATTTATTGACCTTGGATTTGTTTATCTTGAACTACATATTATCGTATGGGTCGACTTGAGACATTTGGATTTGTTTATCTTAGACTGATATATATTATCGTATGGATTTGTGATGTGTATTTTTGTCGGATTTTGGATGTGATGTGTATTCCGTCGGATTTGTGTTGTGATGTTGTTGATTACGTCGGATTTGTGTGGTGATGTACTCTATGATGAGATTTGTGTTGTGATATTGTAAATGATATCTTTTTGGCGAAAATTTTGTTTCTTGCACAACAAATCCACGGGACTAGTAGTCCCGTGGATTTGCTGGGCAGTGGATAAATGGCTCTGTAAAACGTACGGGACTACTAGTCCCGTACGTTTTGATAGGGCACAGAAAATATACAGGACTACTAGTCCCGTATATTTTCTGAGTTCGATAACCACTGGGATTAGTTAGCTTTAAACATACGGGACTAGTAGTCCCGTATGTTTTCTGAGCCCACTTTTTCAAAATCGACCTCTTTTTGGCCTATTAGCCAAAAAGAGGTCTATTTTGCTAATTTTTTACCAAAGCGGTCTATTTCGCTATATATTTTATAAAAACGGTCTATTTTGCATTTTTCCCTATAATTTTCTTATCGGTTTCTCGATTTACAAAAGAGAGAAGAATCGACGAAGATCATTCCCTTTGTTTAATATTAGGTTCTTTTTGGTGACGATAGGAGTTTGATTCTTGTATCCCGTTGACGATCTGAACACATCGCTTCATGGAATTTCGATCTTTGCTTTTGACTTTTATGTCGGGAAGAACTTGCAAGGCAAGTTTTAAACTCTGAATGAGTTTAGAACTCTGCTAGAGAGTTGATTTCAGAAAGGAATTTCAATCCTTTTAGCCAAAATAAGCCAATGGCTTTTCTCTTTTCAAGGCAATAGCCGATCTCAATGATAGCCAATCCGAATGATCCAAAAGCTCCCACCCAAGATGATCCAAAAGGATCTGTATTCAGCTGAATTCTCAGCTATTTATAGAGATCTAGGAGTGTAACTAACCCCATAAATCTCACCATAATGGGGGCTTAATGACCCCATTATGTGGAAAACGGTTTTAAACCGTTCAAATTGCAATTGAAACGTCAAACGCGAGATTCGCATTATGGAGCAACCCTCGCTCTTATATGTGATCAATGATCAACTGCAAATAATTATTCACGTGCTACATGATTAATAATGCCAAAGTGAGAACAATTATTCACATGCTATATGATTAATCATTACACATAACGTGGCAAATCTCTCACCGACTAAAATTCAAGTAGTTCATGGTACGCTTATGTTAATTAGACGATTTATTAAATGCCAAATTTACCCCCTCGCTCTTATATGTAATCAATGATCAAACTGTAAAATTATTCATGTGCTACATGATTAGTAATGCCAAAGTAAGAACAATTATTCACATGCTATATGATTAATAATTACACACAACGTGGCGATCTCTTACCAACTAAAATTCAAATAGTTTAAAGTATTGCATAGTTAGTTTTAAAATTTAATTATACAATTATTATTTAAATAGAACTCTATTTATAATTGTTATCCTCTCACATGCAACATCATATACCAATATATATACGCCAAGAAATTAAAATAATTTCTATAGCACTTTTATCTCCTTCTAGAGGCACGTGTCTTTGTTATTAGATTAGATTAGATTATTTTAAAGCAATTAATTATATTATATATTTGATCTTTTTTCGGATTAAGAAATTATAATAATTTTCACAGTACTTTTATCTCCTTCAACAAGTATGTGTCTTTGTTATTTTTTTCTTATTAGAATAGATTAGATTGTTTAAGAATTATGAATTATAAAATTGCAACAACTTTCACAGTACTTTTATCTATTTTCTTCTTATTAAATTAGATTAGATTATTTTAAAGTAATTAATTATATTATATGTTTGATTTTTTTTCCAGATCACAAAGTTTAATTATACTATTATTATTTAAATAGATATTGTTTGTATAAAAGTCAAAGAGAATCTCATACGTATCTTTGATCTCAATGCCAATTATAATACTTATATATGGGTTTTGATTAAAATAAAT